CCCCCCCGCGCCGCCTTCCCGGGCCCGCCGCCCGGCCCTTCTCTGGCTCCCCCCGCAGACCCTGAGCGTTTCGGAAGCTCCACCCGGCCTCGTGCAAATCCCAGTCGCCCCCTCTCCTTTCCCAGGATCCCCCAATGCCGCTCTCACAATGTTCTTTTAGTCACACCGCCCCTCTCCAAATTCCTAAAATGTAGGGATCTCCCTCGCGCCTCCCCTAATTCCCCCTGGCTCAACCCAGCCCGCCCACCTTCACCCCACCCCTGGCTCAACCCAGAGGCTGCACCTGGGGGCGCCTTAGCCCAGCGCTGTTCCAGGCCCCGCCTTCTTGGGGGTAGAGGGCGCTTCTGGGTGGCCAAGACTTAACTTTGTCTCCCCTCAATCCCAGTGACAAGTCCTGTGTCCTTTTCTAGTCCCTGAAATAATTGCTTGTGCCTTCAGAGCCCCCTCCCAAACCTACTTGCCAACCACCAGAACCCCACCTCACCCCTCCCACCTAGGCCTCCGCCGTTGCACTAACTGCTAATTGGACCGAGAGGTGTGGAACTCCATCCTGCAGCCCTCACCCTCCCAAACGGCCTCGGCCCGGAGACGCCGGCCCCCTAGCTGCCGCCCTGCGATCCAGCCGCTCACGCACTTTTATTTTGGATCCCAATCCTCTCTTGGAGCGGCTCTGCTTGGCTGCGTCTGCTCTGTGTGTGAAATTCCTGAAAAGGGTGCGAGAGAGAGACCTAGTACTCTGTCTGCCTGGGGCCCCCACGTGGCTCCTGCATCCTCTGACCCAGTCCCAGAGGAGGAGCCTGTCCACCACTTCTTCTCCTCCTAGGGTCAAGTTGAGCTGTAAACCGAGGTCCTCAGACAGATGGCCGCCTTTGGCCTTCAGCTGGCTCTGTCTCTGACCCACAGACCTGGGATCCTCCAAGGATCCCTCTCAGCTGCAGGGATCCAGTGCTGGAGCAGCCCCCCTCCTCCACTCCCCTACTTTTCTTCATCTTTTCTCTCTGTTCTCTCTTTCATCTCTCCACTCATTTCCTTCTTCCTCACCTTGACTTTAATCTTATACAAGCTGTCTCCCTATAATTTGTGAGCCGTTTCCCATCTCTGCTCTGCTTGCCCAGCTACAGTTTTTGTGCCATCCCTGCATTAACGCCTCTCTTCTTAGCGCTTCCCTCATCTGCCTCTTGTCTCCTTTCTATCTTTAACCCTTAAGCGAATGCCTTTTCCCCCCTCTCCCATCACGTTTTATTTACCTTTTTTATGACTTTGGATAAAGGCAGAGGACCAAAAAGAAGGAAACACCAAAGCCTGTTTTGTGACCTTGGACCTCATGTTTCTGAGGTGTTCTCCAAGTGCTAGGCATGTATATATGTTAGCTTTTATACACAATCATAACCCAATGAGATGGACATCACGATTCCCATTTTCCAGATGAGAAAACTGAGATCAGAAGGTCAGGGAGGTGAAGGGACTTCCCAAGGTCACATAGCTAATGAGCAGGAGAGCTGAGATTTGAACTCCAGACTCCAAAAAGCCTTGGCTGTTTCTGTTAAATCACACCGTCCTTAGTGACCTTGGAGAAGCCCACCTATCAAAGATGCGAAAAGCACATCTGCATGAGCACATGGGGGTCTGTTTCAGCTCCGAGGTTTATAGGGTATGCTCCTCCTGTCTCAGTTTACTAATCTGTGAACTTGGGGGTGGGGGAGGTTCTGGCCTTTCAAGTCCTCTGACTCTCATTCATCTCCTGCCTCTCTGATGCCTGCTTCAGTTCATTTACTCCTCCAAAATATGTCACCCTGCCTCCCTCAGTCTCTCCTTTGTACCCTTACAATCCGCCACTATCCTCTGCAATGGGGCTTTCTGATTCTCTATGCCCCTTTCTTCAAATATGCTGACATAGTCCATTTATAGAAGTGCATACCAGGAAAAAAGGGCTCCCTTATGTAAGGCAGAGTCTGTGCAAGTCCTTCATGGACCTCTGGTACAAAGGCCTGTCGAATGCTACCAACACTTTCATTCATTCATTCACCACTAAATGTCCAGGGCTCCTACGGAGCACTACATGGGGATGCAGTGATGGATAAACACGGCTCCCGCCCTTGAAGAACTTATAATGACGGGGGTGGGGGAGGAATGAAACAGGAACAGAAATAGCTCAGATACCAGGCAGGCAGGCAGACAGACAGACAGACATCTGGTTCTTTTATGAATACTTTGAAACTTATGCTTGGAGAAATCAAAGAAAGCTTCCCAGGGGAGGTGGCGCTGGAGTTGAGCCATGAAGAACTAGTAGCGCGGGGGTGGACATTCCAGGTTAAAACTGGCCTTTGGGATTCTTTGCAACTGCTCAGCATCTGAATGAACCCCTTTCCTACATCAGGGGGTGCTTCATTCTCTGTGGCATAGCCCGCCTCCCATGAAGCACTAAAATTTCCAGATACTTCCTCGGCCTCCACTGCAGTTAGGACTTGGGGACATGATACAGGATTTACCGATCCGATTCACCCACCCCAGATGCAGGGAAGGAAGCTAGAATCAGGCCGAATCCACCTGGGGACCAAAGTGGCAACTGTTGGGCCAGTTATGTCCGGGTTTCACTGCTAGTGAACACGGCTCTAACGGCACTGCTCAGAGCCCAGTGTCACTGGTGTCAAGGGTGCGAATCACCCTAATATGCCTGGCTGCAGCTGCAACAAAAGCCCTCCACCAGCCAGTTCTCTGCAGTGGTTCGGAGCGGTGCTCTCGACGCCATGGACTCTAAGCCCAGATCCCATGCCCTCCTAGAGATTCTAAGTAACCTGGTATTGCTTTCCTAAACTCTGTCTCTGCTTAAATTATCCAGCATCGGATCTGTTGCTCGCAACTAAGACACCTGCCTGAGAACAAAGAATGTGGAACAAATGGAGGGCAGAGAGGGCAAAGCATATGAAGGCAAGTGGAAGGAGTTCAGTGAGTGGGAGAGGGAGTGATTGAAGACGAGACAGAAAAGGCAGGCAAGAAATCCGGCCTCACAAGGAGGACCAGCTTTATCCAGTGTTAAACCTGGAATGACCACAGGAAAACAACTCATATTTCGGAACGCATATTTTGCTACTTCAAAATTTTATGTAGTATATCAATGAAGGATGATAATTTCTGCCTCCTGGCAGCAGCAAGGCTTCAGAAGTCATTATGCAAAGTGCTTAACATAGTAGGTGCTCAATAATTTATAGCTGCTGCTGAGATGCATAGCCCCAGCAACACCTGGAGTGAGGCTTGTTATCCCCATTTGATGGATGTGTTATTCGAGGTTCAGGGAAGCTAATACACCTGACTCTGATCGTGTAGCTATCAAAGGGCGGAGCACAATTCTGTCTGATTCCGAAATCCTGGCTGTCTGCCACCGCAGGACACCTCCCTGCGTCAACCCCTCCCCGCTTGTTCCTGATGCACTGGGACTTCCCAATTCACGCTCTCATGTCCTGTCCTGTAGCCAGTGGCACCGCTCTTGTCCCCCTCAGCGTCTCTCTCCCCTTCTCCTTTCCTCTTCACTCAGTCACATTTCCTTATTGATTTCATTAGTCACATTTCATTATTGATATAATTTATCCCCCTCTAGGGTGCCCTTAGTACTCCCTCCTCCGACTTCTTAGATCTGAAGTTCCTTTTCATGCCTTTCGAACCCCTTCCCACTCCTCCCAGCAGATGCTTCCTCTTGCTTCATCTTTCATTTTTCAAATTTGTCTTTCTAGGGAGTTTTGCAACATTTTTTTTTCTTTCCCCCCACCCCCTTCCTTCATACTCTTGTTTTCGCGCAAGTCCTTCTATTCACATCACCTGGCTGAGGCAGCCTGGTGTAGCTGAAAAAGCCGGGATTAGGGAGGCCGACAGGCTTGGGTTTAGATATCATCTGTGCTATTTACCTACTTGAGTCAAGTCACTTAGGAATGCCCCTACCAGACCTTTCTCGTTTGTGAAGTGGGGGAAGTAGCACCTGCTTTAGAGGATCATTAGGGGAGTTAAATGAGATCACATGTATGAAAATACATAGGCCATGTTAGAGTCTCCTTAATGCTATAAGTAAATCCAAACACTGTATGGCGTCTCACTCCCTATTTCTAACCCAGCCCCACTGACGCCACCGCCACTCTGTTCCAGGCAAATAACATCTCTTTTCTGTTCCTGGATGTTTCAAGCTCTGGTTTCCGCAGTGTTTCCACACAGGCTCTACCTTCTCTCTGGACAGAGCTCCATCCAGTCTTTACCTGGCTGCCTGTTACTTATCAACAAGCCTTAGCTAATGTAGCCCTTTCCTTGAGATGGCTAACCCCCCAGTCTCTATCCTCCCTGTTATGCCCTTTCATATCTCCTGGCATAGTTTGAAATTGTACACATGACATAGTTTAATACTTATCCATTTAGAATGCATTGGGATGTCGGAAAAGTCATGATGCATTTTTGCAACGGAAAACAAAGGAAAAATACGTCCTGACTTTTCTGACCACCCGGTGTTTTCTTGATGTTTCTTCCCCACTAGGCTAGGAACTCTGAGAGATCAAAGAACGCCTGTGTCTCGGTCACCACCACGTTCAGATACACCAGCACTGTGACTACTATAGGGTACAGACACAAAATAACTATTTTGTCCATGGATGATCACGTGTTTATTGACTTTTGACTCCAAGAAAGGTAGATACTAGACACTAGCCGT